AGAAACTTATACATAACCTCAGGAAGTAGTAGTTGACATTTCTGTATACGTAACGAGGAAGGAAGGTTTGGAAAATCTGATACACTACAGGACAGACTGAGAGAAAGAAAGACAAAGGAAAACAGCGCGTAACCTACTTAATGAACTTGATTAAATGGATGGCGGAACAGAATTTGGGAGAAATAACAAAAAGGTAAAACTTATTAAGTACTAAAAGGGCCAGGAAGATGTGGAGCGCCATGATCGCCTACGTCCTGAAGGGAGACGGCACAAAAAAGAAGCTCCTCCTTCAGAAAAGCATGTAGCAATGAGTTAAAGACTAATAAATTTTGTTGAATGTGAAGGAGCTCAAATCAACATGGAAAATATTAAAATAATAATTAATACTCGATTGGCAGCTAGGTCTCATCGTCCCTCGGCAGCTTTATCACCATGCTAGGTGTGAAATAAATAAAAAAAATCGTTATTGTTAATGATGCTAAAAGTCATAAAAACTTTTCGTCTCCTGCCAGCTATGGGATAAACATCAACAGCAAGATGGGGTTTCTAGGAGAAAAACTGTAACGGTAATATATATATATATATATATATATATATATATATATATATAATAGAGTAGATAAGTTGGTCAATAAAACAAAATCAAACGAAAAGAAAAGTTATCGATGAAATCAGTACGAAAAACATTAATTATTAACAAGGTGACAAAAAAGAAGCACGGAGATTGAGGTTCCAAGTTTGGAATTTTCGAACACGCCTGTGTTCTTCATCAGCGGATGCGAGAAATAAACAGAAGAACGGCGGAGACTATCCAACATTACTTCTTGGGGATGGTTAGAGTCCTCTTGTAGGCGGAATTGTTAGAAAAGTCCGTTCCCTGTTTGATTTCTCGCTGTGAGGAACTTTTTGCGAAAATTGCCTAAGATTTAAAAATTGTGATTGGTGGGGGGTAAAGGGGAGTGAGATGTGCAGCATAGAGGAAAAAGAATTATAGGACCAGGGGTGGGGATGGGATTAGTATTGAAAGGTTTTGTGTGTGAGGATAATGTGTGGGAACACAGCGAGATTGTCATTAATAGTAAAAAGAAAGTGAAGAAGAAGAAGAAGAAGAAGAAGAAGAAGAGAGAGAGAGAGAGAGAGAGAGAGAGAGAGTAAAGAAATATCACAAAAAAGGTAGAAAGAATCCTTTTAGGAAAATTATTGTTAGAAAATGGGGGGTGAGGAAAAATGAATTGAAACAAAAATAAAAAAAAATGATAAAATACTAAAAATAAATATAATGATAATATGAAACATAAAAATAGATGTGTTGTCAACCGAGAGTAAAATATTAATAAAAATAAAATAAAATAAATGATATATATATATATATATATATATATATAGAGAGAGAGAGAGAGAGAGAGAGAGATAGATAATATTAGTGGTCAATATATATATGTATATATTTCCGAGAGGATAGAATCCAGGTATAGCTCAATGTCCAGGACTGAGCAAGAATAATATATAAGAGGCTCAAATACTAATATTCCATGGTTATAATTTATTACATTTGAAACGTAATCATGATTCAATTCATCAGACCTACAAATTTGTATATATATATATAACTTGAGCGCAAAAAATATATTTCTTACATGGAAGTTTCGTCTGGTCAATCTCTTCAACTAATCCTCTATCATACCTCCTGGAACTTTACTACTGGGCTCTGAAAGAAATGTCGTGTAGGTATGTCTGTATCTGTTCTTCAACAACTTACTCCTTACCAAAAATCTACTTACGTACATACTGTTCATTGAAACGAAGTATCAATGTTCTTTATGGAGAATTGCGTTTTATAGGAATTGATGGCAAGAAGAGTGTTGCAAAGAATATGCATTATAATATTCTCGGATTGGCAGACGATTTAAATTTCATCGTAGCTATTGCTGCGGACACGTCTGATTTTCCTTCTTCTTCTTCTGCTGTTGACCATTTTCTGAAATCAATTCGCAAAGTCTGATTTATTCTGCAGGGATAGATTTCCAAAGTTGAGTTTCCGGAATATTTTGTTGGTATTGATAGAAAATCATCTTTCTGCGACAGTCGTAATTACAGATTCTTCCCTTCGATGGAAAAAGTTCTATTCCCAGATAAAAATGCTTTTTTAACGGCTTGTTTCCTTGTCTCGGGGAAATTCAATAGCGAATTTATTGATATCCAAAGAATAACCGATGTCAAGATGGGTTACAATGACATTTCTAACAATTTATTTATTGCTTGTATTATACACGCACACACACATATATATATATATATATATATATATATATATATATATATATATATATATGTATGTGTGTGTGTGTGTGTGTGTGTGTGTGTGCGCGTATAGTTGTATATTTAGGCAGCAATCCTTCGTTTATGCATGTTTCATTAAGAACGACAGACAAGGTATTACGGTTAAGTTTTTTATTTAATTTTTCTTGTGTTCGAACAAGAACTTTCTTTTCTGGACAAAGTGTGTGTAAGAACTGTCCAAATGTTTTATATTTCCGGGCGCTTTCGGCTATACATTTAGCCATTATCAAGGATGATTCGATTTTTCAGTTTAATTGAGTGTGTGCATTATGTGTATGTTTCAGTGTGTGGTAGGGATGTTTTTAATTTCCAAATACGGTTAGCACATTGTGGCCTTGTTCGTAGTTAATATTGTTAAGAGTTGGCTTTTTCTTTTTTATTAAAGCTTCCATTATTTTTAATCTTTTTGCATGTGGATGCAGTTATTATATTTGTTTTCTACTAGTATGTTTCTAATGGAGTCTTGTCTGTGTGTGTGTTTAAGTGGGTCCTAATAGAGCTGTGATCAGATAGGTGTAATGTAAGGCGTCTGAATAAGCATGCAGTTGTGTAACCGATATAATTATTTATGAGTTCGGTTTGATCAGGAACACAGTTCCTTAAGGAGAATTTGAACTCATAGATAATGTTCGTTCTTTGTAATTTTGACATAGCTGATGTGTTGTTATTTTTGAGGATAAGGTTAGCTGTCTTAAAATTTTTATAATAGATAATTAATTTGATTTTTTTCAATTGGGGTAGTGTATTTTGTATGAAATTAAAACATCCCTACAACACACTAAAACATACACATAATGCACACACTCAATTAAACTGAAAAATCGAATCATCCTTGATAATGACTAAAGGTATAGCCGAAAGCACTCGGAACTATAAAACATTTGGACAGTTTTTACACACCCTTTGTCCAGAAAATAAATAAAACGTAAAAAAAATAAATAAAAAGCTTAACCGTACTACCTTGTCTGCCGTTTTTAATGGAACATACAAATATATATATATATATATATATATATATATATATATTAATGCATAGTATTTTCATTATTCGGACTATTGTCCTCATCTTTGTCGGCATATTTATCACAACGTTTCGGCCGTTGTACGCTCCGGCCTTCTTCAGGTGGTTGGAATATCGAAATGAAATCTTTATTTCGCTCACTGGGGCAGACTGTTCTAGTTCCACGTGCCATGTTTAATGGATGTCAGTTATCAGTTATCTCCTGTTAATTCGTCTCTCCAAGTTCTCCATTGCCTTAACCAGGTATTGAACTCACACTCTTTGGGTCCTGTCACTGGATCTAACTAACGCCTTTATCCACTGTGTCATGTGTAAAGGGTTCAATTTGACATTACAACCACCTGAAGAAGGCCGGAGTGTACAACTAAGACAAAGTTTTGTCTATTTATTTTAAGTAAATTCCTTTCATATTGTTGAATAAGCATTTTAGCATTATCACTGAAACACGAAAGAAAATCATCATGTTGATACAAGTTTTTATTGTTAATCCTGTCTAAGCTTTCGGCTTACATAAGCCATCATCAGAGATTGCAATAAATTAAATAATAAATTATATAACAAAGATGGAGATTTTCTTGTTTTAGAATGTTTATGCGGATATGTATATATATACAACGGATTCTCCTCCAGTTCCTACCACACGAACGCAGTTCCTCAAGGCTCCGTCCTAGGCCCCACTTTATTCCTTATCTATATAAATGACCTTCCTGACGCCGTAACTTCTCAAGTCGGCATCTACGCGGATGACACCACAATTTATTCCTGCCTCAAAAACAAATCCAGTCTCGCTGACAAAACTCACCTTGCCGTGCGCCTCGAAAAGGACCTCCAATCGATTGTGAACTGGGGCATGATTTGGCTGGTCAACTTCAACGCTTCGAAGACTAAACTGCTCTCTATTAATCACCACAGAGAGCCTTCCCTTCCCTCCATTATAATGTCTGACGCTCAACTTCCCGAGAGCAACTCTCTGCGGCTTCTCGGTCTCACGTTGACTGCTGACCTGAGATGGAATAAATACATCGAGTCAATTGCCTCGTCCACTGCGAGGAAAAGTTTTTCTCCCCTGAGTCGATCCTCCAGATATACAAATCCACAATTCGCCCTTGCATGGAGTATTGCTGCCATATATGGTCTGGCGCCCCTTCTGTTTGCCTCGGGGTTCTTGATAGGCTCCAGAAGCGGATATGTAATATGGTTGGCCCTACCCTGGCGTCTCGTCTACAGTCACTTTCTCACAGACGCACCGTCGCCTCCCTCTGTCTGTTCTACAAATACTTTCATGGAAATTGCTCCGAGGAACTGCATTCGCTGGTTCCCAAACTTCATGAGTTCAAGCGCCCTACGAGGCTCGCATCCAGCTCTCACCCCTTCACTGTCGAAACTCATAAATGTAGCCGTCTCTTCTACTCTAATAGCTTCATGTCTCGCACCTCTCGCCTGTGGAACTCTCTTCCCTTCTCCTGTTTCCCTGAGAGTTATAATCTCCAGCTATTCAAGTGTAATGTCAATCGACATCTCCAGTTGCCTTAATCTATCTACTACCCTCATCCTTTCTTCTATCACTCCTATCTGATCTTCCTATTTTCTGTAACCCCTTGCGTCCTAGTGGCTCCCCGCCTTGCTTGGGGTGAAATGCTTAAAAAAAAAAAAAAAAAATATATATATATATATATATAGATAGAGAGATAGATAGATAGATAGATAGATAGATAGAGAGAGAGAGAGAGAGAGAGAGAGAGAGAGAGAGTAAGATACGCTCAGTTTAAAATAATGATTTCTCTGAAGATGAAAATACAGGCCCGATTCCTCAGTTGAACTTTCTAATAATGGCGCGCTAATATTATATTCACTTTTACTAATTAAAAAAAAACACATTGTTGCTAACTCAAAAACGTGTACTCGCTAATTTTTTTTATAATATTAAGAAATAATGTCGAATTAAAAAAAAAAATTTAAAATTGCCAGTCGTAAAACTGAACCTATAGACAAAAACAATAACAATAATATTTTCCATAAAAAAAATCATATACACGTTAACTATAAGCAGGATGAATTTTTCCTAAGAAACATGATAACGAAATATCTGACACTAACTAACTAGAAAAATTAAATTATCTGCTAGAAAAAAATTAAAATAGATAACCTTATTTCAACAACAATAACTCAACTGCAAGATCCAAATAACAATTATTATTATTTACAAATTCACATGTCCCTTAAGGAACTGTATCTTTGAACAACCAAATTCATAATAATTATATTAGACATTCCACTATCACGAAGACTCGCGTTAGACCTCGCTGACCATAGCTCAAGTAAGATCAATTTAAACACAAACAGAAACATACCGACGGCCTGGATAAGACGATGAATTACATCCGGCAGCAAGGAATCTTATTGGGAGATGGGAAGAAGTTTTGCGGAGCGTGGAACCACCTGTTAATGCCCAGATCAACCCTGACTCGGGGTGGTAGTAACTATTAGGGTTCTAGCTATGAGCAAATAGTTAACCCTCAAACTTGAGTCAAACGATATGAAAGTTTACAAATATATTTTTATAATGAAAATACTAGTAATGCATTTTTATAGGAAAAAATGCCAGTAATACATTTTTGAAAAAGAAAAAAAATTATGAGCAATACATTTTTGCAAAGAAAATTACCAACAAAATATTTTTATAAAGAAAATTAATAATGCTCCCAAGAAAGTTATTTTTCGGCATTAAATGACCCATGAGCATTTCATGTGCCTCTAAACAAACAATCAAATCAAATCAAACGAAACATACCAAACTTGTTATTTACTAGGAAGAAATATCTAATTTGTCTTGTTATCTTCAAGGGAAAAATATAAACAGCGTACAAAATTTATTTTGGAATGATATCGACACAATAAAATATAACACACACACACACACGCGCACACACACACACACACACACACACACACACACACACACACATATATATATATATATATATATATATATAACAGTATATAAAAAGTAATTAAAATATTAAACATTTCTTTCATTTATATTCTAGAGATAAACAACGTGTACATCAGCTAAAATGTCTATACCGTACAAATTTTAATTTGGAATGATATGTACATAGTAAAACATGATACTACTTTGATTTGTTATCTACGAGGAAAAGAATCTAAGTAGCACCTGTTTTACTATGTAGATATCATTCCAAAATAAAATTTGTACGGTGTAGATATTTTTTGTCGATAAAAGAAGCCATATGTTGTGTTTTTTAATATTTTGCATCTTTCGTTATCCGAATGCGACATCAGATTTCGCTGTCGCGTTTTCCCGACGTCTTTGAAAACATGTCCAAGATATTTAAATTGTTTTACTTGGGCGGTTTTGAATTGTTTTTCTCACAACCATATGTTTAAACACACACAGAAACCTACAAGACTGTACCCGCAACATACTTGTAGAAAAATACAAGGAGGATAGCCGCATCCACATGTTAAAAAAAAAGACTAAAAATAATGGGAGCATCGATAATACCTAGTGTCATTTTAGGGGGGCATTTCCGTAGAGTTAACTTCGTCAGACAACGGTACGTTATTCATCGATGGTGCATTCGCTGAATGTAGCGTCCTTACTTGACTGACAATGGAATCATGCACACAGCGAGTTACCAATCGTCCCATATATATATATATATATATATATATATATATGTATATGTGTGTGTGTGTGTGTGTGTACACGTGTGTATGTGTGTGTGTGAACATTGAAGTCAAAACTCAGAGGTGACAGACTGTTACATGCTAGACGCAGTCAGCAGGCTACATGTGTGTTGTTTTTTCTCGATTATTATGTATATATATATATATATATATATATATATATATATATATATATATATCCGCATAAATATTCTAAAACAAGAAAATCTCCATCGTTGTTATATAATTTATTATTTAATTTATTGTAATCTTTGATGATGGCTCATGTAAGCCGAAAGCTTAGACAGGATTAACAATAAAAACATGTATCAATATGGTCAGTGATGCCTTGTGAGTTGTCCTTTCTAATGGTTATTTTGTCGGGAGTGGTTTTTTATTTTATTTGGATTAATTTATCTTATTTTTTATTTGTATTTATCTTATTTATTTATTCTTTTTCGGCATTTATTTTGTCGAGAGCGTTTTGCTAATTTGTTTATTGTTTATTTATTTGGATCAATTTATTTGTATTTTTTTTATTTATTTTTATTTTTTTATATATTTTCATTTGTTCTTTTCGGTTTTCGATTTTTTAGAAACGTATTAAAATTTTTTTGAGATGTGTTCTGATCGTTTATATAGTAGATTGTTATGGTTTGGGAAGGTAATTATCGCTATTTTTCGTCCAGTTTTTGGATTGTTTGTTGCGGTCTAATATAACGGTTATTCTTACGGGAGTGGTTTGTTAATTTGTTTATTATTTATTTTATTTATTTGGATTGACTATATTTAATTGATTTTTCCTATTTATTTTTTTATTTTATTAAAATCTTTTCAGTCTGTTCTAGCGGTTGTTATGGCCGGAGTGGTTTGTTAATTTGTTTATTGTTTGCTTGGATTCATTTATTTTACTTGTTTTATATTTATTTTATTTATTTTTATATATTCTTTTTAGTTTTCGATTTTTAAATAACGTAGTAAAAATTTGTTTTCATGTCTGCATTTTGAGATGAGTTCTGATCGTTTATTTAGTAGTTTGTTTTGGTCTGGGAAGGTAATAATAGCTATTTTTTCCTCCAAGCAAAGTTGGAAGTGTTTGGATTGATTCTGTAAGCTGATGTTCTTTTCCTTATTTACCATTATATTTTTGATGTGATTTGCATTTTGTTTTTAATTTCCCAGATATACTTAGAAAGCATTGTGTTGTTCGCGTATTTATTATTTGTGAAATATGCTTTGTGTGCATAGTTTCTTTGTTTCCAGGGTACTTTTTTCCTCCTATTTTTTCTTCATTATCTGGTGATTTTACCGTGGCTTGGGATATTACGTTGTTTTGTAAGCAGTTACAGTTTAAGGGTATTGGAAAATGTGTCTATATTCCGTGGTTTATCATTGGGTTTTCTATATGGCTTGTATATACCTTTTCTTAGGTTGAAGGTAACACCTAGAAAATTTACTTCGTTTAGGTTAGTTTTATGTCTATGTCAAATCTGTTTTTTTTAATCTTTATTATTGCGTTTCTAGTTTTGTCTCTGTTTTGTTTGTCATATGTTCTTGAGATTATGAGACCGTCGTCCCTGTAGAGTCCTGTATTATTTTTATCTGTTATTTTGTTTAGTTTGTGTAGAAAATATTTACCTGTGCTTTCGCAGATCCATGCACCGTCAAAGCTTCCCATTGTAGTGTCAAAGACCCCTTCTTTCTTTATCCATGCGTCTTCATTGTGGAATAGTAATGATTTACGAGAGTGTTTAATGATATCGATTTCTTTTGTGTTTATTTTTTATTTGTTCCTGGGTTAAGGTGATGATCTTATCTAGCATAGATTATGTTATAGAAGAGTAGAATTCTTTTATGTCTAATTGTATAAATTGGCAATTATATTTGTTTGTTTTTATCTTGTGGAACAAGTCTGTAGTTGCTTTTGTGTTTTTCCACTGGTTTACTCTTAACTTCTTCCGTAGCTCAGAATAAATTCTTTCTAGTATCGTTTTACTTATTTTACTTGGTTGGATTTATGAGTCTGCATGCTGGGTTGGTTTTGAAAATTTCTTTGTGGTCTTTTAGTGCAATAAAAGCTTGCGCCTTACTGATACAACTTATGTTTTTGCGTTAGCTTCCTAATTGATATCGTGTTCTATTGTCTTTGGTGCTTTTTTGTATGTTTTAGTTACGTTGTTCTTGAGTAAATTATCGTGATGGGGGGGATTAGTTTATATAAGTTTCTTGTTTTGTCCGCTGCGATAAATACGTTTGTTTAATTGTTTATTTTAGTTATATCTTCTTTTAGTTTTTTGTTTTTGGAATGCATCTTGTTTTTTATGGAATTTTATGTTTATTACTAAGTTGGTTAAATCTTTTTCGAACTTGTCTAATTCTTTTTGTTGCAAGAAACATTTTTTGGTATTAAAGCCGTATTTTTCCTTGAGTATAGTATTATTGTGTAGGTCCTGGTTTTTAAAAAATGGGCTTTCCATAAGTAATAATCCTCTAAGCAAGATTTTCAATAAAAATGCTCCTAAATTAAGTTACAGCTGTAATGATAATCTAGAAAAATATTAAAAAACATAATAATAAATTTTAAATTACACAAAACCATCAATAGTAATCCTATAAATTTTCCTTTGCAAAATAGATATCTTACAGGTTTACCAATGCACCATTTCATCTACTGAAAACCTAGCTATTAAGAAATTTTATGTTGGTAGCACAAAAATCCATTTGAACAAATATGGTATCAGCATATATCTTCTTTTAATAACAATGAGTACCGCAACTGAACTCCCCTCTCTAAATATTTTTGGCAATTAAAACCACCACCGTAAAAATGGAAAATATAAAATAAAACAAGAATTTGTTAGTCCTTCAACGACCCATGTCGCCTGTTTCTACATGAAAAGTTGCATGTTATAAAATTTCCTAAAAATAATGATCTCCTAAATCAGAGAAATGAATTAACAGCAATTTTTGGCATTGTGTAATGTTTACTTTAAAATATTGTGATTAGAATTTTCCAATAAAATCTACGAATTACCATTACATTAATTAATATATAATGGTCCATATGAGATTTATTTAATTATTTGATATTTCAACTTTAATATTGCCGTGTTTTATTACCCATTTAATATAAGTATCGTATTTTAGATTCAATATATATATAAAATGATTTAATCATACTAGAGCCCCATTTAAGATACTCCTCAAGTCTATAATTTTTAAAAAAATCTTGAAATTCTTTAAAATTAAACTTTGTTAAATATATCTCTCTGTCTACTTCATTGTATCTTAAATTTATATTCGTAACTGGTGGTCGTCTCTGCTGACGTTCATTAAGTGTCAATTTATCTAGACATAAATTAATAACTCACCTACCTCTAACTACTAACCTCATTTTTCTATTTCAGCTTTGATACCTATAAATGTGTGTTTTTTTTTTAAATTTGGAACTTTGGATTCCCCTTTCATTTTTAACTCTCAAATGAGCTACTAAATTATTTTCGAATTTCCAAAGTAAATCATTTTCACCATAATATCGCCTGATGAAGAACAATGTTTATGTTCGAACCATTGAAATTTTTGTGAAGCAATGTAAAATATTTGATAATAGAAATATTATATATATATATATATATATATATATATATATATATATATAAAAAAAAGAAGAGAAGAGAGGTGCCGCAAACGTTTTGGTTGTAATGTAGATTTATGTAGAAAAAATATTATGCTTTGTTTTACATAATTTTACTACGACACGTGTTTCTGGTCTCATGACCGTCTTCAGGTAAAAGTGGAGATTTCTACATATTATTAAAAATAATATTATTAAAAATAATTAATTTTTCTTCATGTTCAATGTGAGATATTCTCGATATGAGACATTCTCTGTTTGTGTGTTGGTAATCCGAATTTCTTTCTAGAATTGTCAATGAAGAGTTCTGCGCGAAGGGTCATAAAACAATTAAGGTTGGTCCAGCGAGTAGTTATCGGCATTTTATCTTTTAATGTTTTAGTGACCCCTATGTGCTCTTGGATCTGTTTCTATTTTGGTGTGTTCTATATATATGTTTTGATGTGTTCATATATATATGTTCTATTTTGGTGTGTTCTATATATATGTTTTGATGTGTTCATATATATGTGTTCATATATATATATTTTGGTGTGTTCATATATATATGTTTTGAACAATAAGAAATATTAAAAATTAAAATCTTCAGACACATTGGGTTTTATATTAATATTCTTTCGTTTTTATTATTATTCTGTTATTTCTGTTAGATTCCTTGACTAGTTTCGGTCAACATGGCCATCATCAGGAGAAAAAAACTTCTGCTTGCTCGTAACAGTGAACTACAGAAATGAATGTTTTCATGGAGAAAATGAACTTTTATCTGTAGTTTTCATTTCTTTTATATATTTTTTATTTTTTAACATAAATTTTGGTCAAACAGTTTCTTTTAATTTATTATTTAAAATAAGAGCTGGATGGATTCATGCTGCTCTGATTTCCCTTGGTCATTTTGACAGGTTTATTGGTTCCTGGAAATGTGTGTGTTATTTGGTCCTTAGGGAGAGATGGAGTATGATGAGTGTAAGTGCGTATATTACTATGGGTGTGTGTTATCATTTGGCTCATTAAGTAGTGAGTGAGTATGATGTGTGAAAGTGTGTATATTCATGTAGGTGGGTGTATAAGTGTGAGGCCTCAACACCTCCTGAAGCATGTCTGTCTTGTGTGGGTGAGAAATATGGATAGGTCCTGATTTTGGGGTTATATATTAATACTATCTTTATTTTAAAATTTGTGATTAAGCCTGTCTGGATAGTGCGTTTTTAAACGTAGGAACGACTTCTTTTCATGGAACTCTAACATCTTTCTAATGTTATCTGCTGTGAACTTTTCTATTCTCTCAATAGTGAATTTGGTATGGGTTTTAAAATCGTAGATAGGCGGAAATAGTATAGGTAATGATCATTCATGTGGAGTCGACTTAATTCGATTGCGATAATTATTAATTCTGTAGTGAAAGGGCATAGTGTTTCTGGCATAGTGTGCATTCTAGGAGGTAAATTATGTTATGACTTCTACAGTTAGAATAGTGGTAGATTTTGAAAGTAGATTTAGTTACTGAGCTAGTGAATGAATTCGTGTGTTTAATGTGGTTGCAGCATAAGCTTCTTTTTTATTACATGGTTGGGAGAACCCTGCTGTTTTTGTTTTTGGTTTATTACGGATTACCTTATCCCCTGAAATGTAGTTACTACCTATGATTTCTTTTAGGTTTTTAGGTCTACGATATACTAGAAGGCCGGGTTCCTCAAACAATTTTTTTTAGGTCTGGTTTGAGATGTAGTATTTACCAGCGACTTTTGATTATTTGGGATAGTGGAGGCAGGGTGGGGTTGAAGGTGGTTACTGGTGGAATACGGTTGGGTTTATTTCTAATCTTGTACATTAGGGTGTCTTCTCTAGGTGTGAAAATTGCTTTATTTATTTGTTCCCTGATTAGGTGTTGTTTATAGCCAGGTGTTGTGAATTGATGTTCCAGATTTTGAGTGTGTTTATTTAGTTCTCCATTGTTGGAACATATCCTTCTGAGTCTAAGTGCTTGTGAATAGGGGAGTTCTCTTTGAGGTGTTTAGGGTGGGAAGACTTAAAGTGTAGATAGTTGTGGGTGTCGGTGATTTTAGTGTGTAGTGTCGTTTGTAGTTTCCTGTTTTTATCTATGTAAATGCAGGTGTCTAAAATTGTTACCGATCTTGTGTACTTTTCTTAGTCAAATTTAATTGAGTCGGGTACTATGTTTAGGGTCACGAGGAATTGGATAAGTTTGTCGTCACTGCCCGTGTATACAAAGAATATATCATCGATATATCTTGCATAGAATACGCAGTCGCTACCGATGTAATTATCATCTTTGATAATGGCTTACGTAAGCCGAAAACTGAGATTGGATTTAAACATCTATCAATATGGTGATTTCCTTTCGTCTTTCAATGATGTGATTAAGCTTATCAGACAATATGAAAGGGACTTACTTAAAATAAATAGACGAAACTTGTCTATATTATTTAATGAAAAATGCATCAATGATATAGGAGGAGGTGTGGGTTGGTAAACAGTGACTATTATATTAGAATCTCCGACTGACACCAATTCAGTCGGGTTTCGATCCTAGCTAGAGGCAACCGGATGTCTAGCCACACTGATGAGCTGTGAAACAGCGAAACAGTCTGTCTGTGGATGACGTTATATTGGCTCCTGAAAAATTAATTTCAGTTGAGCTCTCTGGGGAGGAGGTGTGGGTTGGCAAACAGTGACTATTATAGCTATATAGCGAGACTCTTCGTAAATGCGAATTGAGTCACTGTCGGTCAATGGGCGTGTTTCTAAAAATAAATACGCTAAAATCCACCTTCATCCCTACCGTGCGCCGACAGCTTAATGGTTAGAATCTCCGTTTCGATCCTAGCTAGAGGCAACCGGATGTACTTTTGTCGGTGATTTTAGTGTGTAGTGTCGTTTGTAGTTTCCTGTTTTTATCTATGTAAATGCAGGTGTCTAAAATTGTTACCGATCTTGTGTACTTCTGTGGACATTCTGTTTCCTTGCAGTTGATGTTTAATCATTTCTTCTCGCCCAAGAACTACTGAATAAGAATACTGAATTCTATGAACGTAGAAGGAGAATGTCTGAAGCTCAGATTATGATAATAAAATGGTTTGTTCGAAACTTGAAGAGGTTAAGATCGGGAAAGCATCCACTTGGGAGTGTTTTCCTCAAAGTAGCGGTGATTTGGAAAAGCTGTACGAATTAAACTTCCTCCTAACCAATGGAATACGAAGAAAAATCGAAATTATTAGTCCCTGTGTACATGAAGACAAAGAGAATACACACACACAGAGTGAGCAAGAGAGAGAGGGAGAGAGAGAGAGAGAGAGAGAGAGAGAGGGAGAGAGAGAGAGAGAGGTGGCGGAATGCAAGAGGGAAAGGAGAGACAGGGAGATATAGAGAAATATATATAGAGTGACATAAGGAGGACAAGAATGATACAGGCTGTGTGAGAGAGAGAGGGGGGAGGGAAAGAGAGACTGCGAGATACAAAGAGAAAAGTACAGGAAAAAGAGTGTAAGTGAAAGCGAGAGAGAAATAGAAAGTGATATAGAGAGAAGTATAGAGAGAAAGAGTGGGATAGAGAATTAGAAATTCAGAAACAATGAGACAGAGATAGATGCAGAAACAACGATGGAGATATTAAGAATAAAGGACTGAGAGAGAGAGAGAGAGAGAGAGAGAGAGAGAGAGAGATACAGACGGAGAAGCAGAAAGAGAGAAAGAGAGGCAAATAGAAAAAAATAAGAGGGGCAGATACAGAGTGAAAGTAAAAAAGAGCGAGGGACAATGAGAGAGTGTGCGAGTTTTGAAAAAAAGAGTTGCTTATACTTCAATAGGTTAAGCTGTGAACCTTAAAGCCGCGTTTCAATTAACATCGGTAAAAGTATCGACACGTCTTTAATTCATTTCGAACTAATTAAGTAAGAAAATAATTAAATTCAAATAACGCACGCATGCATTTCTTTGTATTTTGGTTTCCAGTCAATCAATATTTTATCACTTAAAAATAAAACGTAGGGAAGATATCAGTTACCTTTACATCAATATATCTGTATTTTTGAAGAAACAGGGAACAAAGATGGCGATTGGACGAAACATGAAGAAACAAAGAAATTTTGCATTGGATCACGCTTGGATTTTGGAGACGAAAATGGGGTAAAAGACGAGGGAGGTTGAAATTGATAATTTGCAATAAATTTAAACTCAATTCATCCTTGTAGGTAATGCAAATTTTATATTCATAAAAGTTTTCATAAACCCAACTAACAAAAAAACGTTGCTATAAAACTTCTGCAATGTTGTAAAGAAATGACAAAAACGTCTCTGCAATGTGCCCTCTATGTTAACTTGTAACGTTGCAAATTCATTGCCTTGTAACATTTTATGAACAGAAAATGGGTAATAAATTTAAGCAAGATATTAGGACTTTAAATTCATCACCTAAATAAATGATTTCTAATTTAAAAATACGAAAAAAAAAACATGGGGAAGATATCGGTGAACTATTGAAATATTTCATCGATATATCTGTTTTTTTTTTGTTTTTTTTTAGAAAAGGCAGGGAACAAAGATGGCGATTGGACGAAATACATGAAGCAAGAAGAAAACTTTGCGTTGAATAACGCTTGGATTTTGGGCAGGAAAATAGTGGAAAAGGCAAGGGGGTCGATATTGATAATTATTGCTGTATTTGCAATAAATTTATAGTCAGTTCATCCTTGTGGGTAGTGAAAATTTTATATTGATACGAAAAAACTGTAATTTTTTTTTATATTGATACAAAAAAACCTATAAAACTTCTGCAATGTTGCACAGAGGTTGCGAAAACGTCTCTACAATGTTCCCTCTATGTTAACTTGTAACGTTGCAAACTCATTGCCTTGTAACATTCTATGAAGAGAAAATTCGTAATAAATTTAAGCAAGATAGAACTTTACATTCCTTACCTAAATAAACGATTCCCAAATTAAAAATACGAAAAAAACAGTTTATACTTTCCTTACATATTATTAAATGGTTAAAAAGTAGGACTACAGCTACAGCAGTGGTACCCAACCTTTTTTTGGCCCTACCCCGCCAAGAATCTGTAAAACCTTGATGCCCCCCCACGTCCTGTGATATATAAGTTTTATTATTCAAAATATGAACTGCTATTCACGCGGAAGAAAACAATTAATTTAACTTTCCTTAATATGCCATTGCCTATTTGAAATAATATTATCATTCAATTTAGAATTTTATGATATTTATAAAAAATATAAAATATAAACATAAAGAGTCGTTTAAATTGATGTGGTTAAGTATGGGCACATATTCAATTAGATTCAAACTGAAAAAGAAAGAAACTACTTTAAATTGATTTCAAATTCAAATAACATCTATTTTTTGTTTTTGCTTCCCAGTCTATTAATATTTATTTCACATTTTATTTTTGTTACAATAACACGTTGGGAAGATATGGGTCAACTATTGAAATATTTCATCGATATATCTGTATTATGTGAAGAGTCAAGGAACAAAGATGGCGATTGGACGAAATACATGAAGAAAGAAGGAATTTTTTTTGCGTTGAATAACGCTTGGATTTTGAACAGGAAAATGGGGGGGAAAAAGGCAAGCGGGGGGGTCGATATTGATAATTATTGCTGTATTTGCAACAAATTTTAACTCAATTCATCCTTGTGGGTAGTGAAAATTTGATATTGATGAAAATTTTCCGAGACCCGACTAATAAAATGACGTTGCTATAAAAATTCTTCAATGTTGCACAGTGGTGACGAAAACGTCTTTGCAATGTACCCTCTATGTTAGCTTGTAACGTTGTAAACTCATTGCCTTGTAACATTCTATGAAGAGAAAATGGGTAATAAATTTAAGCAAGATATTAGGACTTTAAATTCATCACCTAAATAAATGGTTTCTAATTTCAAAATACGAAAAACAACGTAGGGAAGATATTGGTCAACTATTGATATATATATATATATATATATATATATATATATATATATATATATATATATATATATATATTGTGAAGAGGCAGGGAGCAAAGATGGCGGTTGGGCGAAATACATGAAGACAGACGGATTTTTGCATTGAATATCGCTTGGATTTAGGGCGGTGGAAATTGAGGGAAAGGGCGTACATTTGTGATAAATTTAAACTTAATTCTTCCTTGTTGGTAGTGAATATGTCATCGCTAATCTTATCTTATCTTGGCGTGATTGGGATAGAGAGGATAAAGGGAAAGAAAGAGAGAAGGATAGAAAGAGAGAAAGAGAGTCAGAGAGAAAGTGAGAGAGAAGTCCATGAGAAACGTGTAAAAGAAAAAATAGAGTTATAGGTAAATATATATATAGACAGAGACATAAAGGGCAAATGACTGAGACAGAGAGGGAGAGAGGGAGAGAGAGAGAGGAGCAAAGCAAACAGAGAGATACAAAAAAGAAAGAAAGAGGAGAAAAGAGAGATAAAGAGATAGAGTGCGAGAAATAGAAAGTGATATATAGAGAAATACCGAGAGAAAGAGTGAGACAGAGATATAGAAAAGAAAGAGAAAGAGAGACAGAGAGACAGTGAGCGATACAGTGTAAATGAATGAGGGAGACAGACAGAGATACTCGGAAAGAGTGAAAGAGAGGAAAAGAGAAAAATAATAGCGAAAAATAGATAGATAGATAGAGAGAGAGAGAGAGAGAAAGAGAAAGAGATAAAGAAAGATATAAAGAGACAGTGAGATAGAGAAGAAAGCAATGAGAAATCCTGAAAAAGAGGTAGAAAATAGAGAGATGGAGAAAAAGTGGTAAAAAATGGAAAGAGGCAGACAGAGAGAAAGAGGCAGACAGAGAGAAAGAGGCAGACAGAGGCAGACAGATTTAGAATGTGAGAAAGAGAGATCATAGTGAGAGAGTGAGGGGAAGAGAGGTAGAAATAGAGAGTATAGCGGGAGAGAAAGAGAGAGACAGAGATGTAGAATGTGAGAAAGAGAGATTTATAATGAGAAAGAGAGAGAGAGAAAGAGAGGTAGAAAATGAAAAGAGATAGCGGAAGAGAAAGAGAGAGAGAGAAAAAAACAGGAATCTAGAATGTAACAAAAAGAGATTCATAGTGAGAGAAAGAGAGAGAGAGAGAGAGAGAGAGAAAGAGAGGTAGAAAATGGAAAGAGATAGTGAGAAAGAGGAAGACAGAGAAACATAGAATGTGAGAAAGAGAGTGAGAGCCTGACGATTGCTTACAGCATGAAACAGATTGTCGCCTGTAAGTGTTGACTTCTATGTTCACTTTTATATTTACATACGCTCTATCTCTGATATTGAGCACTTTATCTCATAAATATAGCACACCTTAAGACTATATATATATATATATATATATATATATATATATATATATATACCAGGTAAAAAAGAACCGTGGTTAGTGGGTAAGTAATCCAAGTAGAGTCTATTAATATAAATATTAAAATTGATCTACACAAGAGAAACCAATATAATTTTTATTATAGAGCATTTTTAGTAAATGTATTTGCATTGATAAGTTCAGAGAAAAAACTACTTTCCCATGGACGAAATGATCATCTGTATGAAGTAAATTATTTGGATCACAATAATTGAATTCACAATATATATATATATATATATATATATATATATGGTTGTGGCCTTGTTACAAACGAGAGTGTTACAACAAGAATGTTCAGCCCGACTCTGAGAACTGACTGCTGGAAATTTCCCTATCCAAAAGACAGTACCTGCTCCTATTTATAGCTGTGAGAGTTTACGCGTGTGAGGGTAAATTACCATAACACACACGCACGCACGTACACACACACACACACACACATATATATATATATATATATATATATATATATATATATACGCACAGGTTGTGATGGGTAAATTGTCGCCATTTCATATTTTTAATTTCGCGTATATGGATTGATATTTTTGATTTTGTCAACGGCACATTATAGTAGAATAAATTGTGTACTCTCCGTGAGAAAACGAGAACCATGACGCAATTCACTCCGCCAATAATCTGGAAACGACACGCTGTACTGCTTCGTATTCGTACCTGTATTTCCAGTACAAACATATCAGGGTGTTTGGATGCCAATCTGAGGAGAGTGCACAGGATTCGAAAAGAGTTGGATGAATCTAATGGTGATTCCGAAAGTGTTTGGAGCGATCACTTATGATGGCGACGATATGTCGCCATTTATTTTCCCACAGGGCAACAGACTCAACACGCAGGCCTACATCAAGTGCCTTGATGAGGTAGTGATGCCCTCCCTCAAGAGGGTGGCTGCTGGAAGACCCTACGTCTGGCAACAGGACTCTGCACCATGCCACACAAGCATGGATGTCAGACAATTTCTGTGAGCATATCATCCCTTAAATCTGGCCAGCTAACACCACATATTACAATCGCGTTGATAATTATGTGTGGGTTACAGTTGAGCGAGAGATTAACAAAACTGAAGACAAGAATTATGGCAGCATTTACCAGAAGAGATTCCGAAGTCGTCTGGAGGCCGTGGTTGAAGCCAATGGCGATTTTATTGAATAATTTTACTCTTTAGCATTTCAAGATTTTTTGTGTAATTTTGGTAAATATATCTTAAAATATATCTGTTAGTTTTATTTCAATTTTTGCGTAAACTAGATGGCATCTTATCCATCGTTCTCGCCCTCTCTCTCTCTCTCTCTATGTATATATATATATATATATATATATATATATAAATATATATATATATATATATCAATTATGTGGTGCAGTTTAATTTATATTACAATGAATCATTCATACAAAATTTATTTGTATCTGTTATCAATAACACACATTAAAAAAAAAAACATATTTCGATTTGCATTATATTTTTTCCTCTCGGATGCTATCGGATTTTTACCAAAAAGAAAATAGCTTCCATACCTGATGATGACCGGAGAACCTGTCGAAAGTACTTGTATATTTAAGGAAGAGCTAATACATTTTATAATTTTAAAAAACAAGGATCATAGCATTCATCAAGTGGTTAGTGGGTCAATGCATTTTTTAAAATTTAGTTAGCGATGTGAGTTCGCCATTTTATCTCATTAACTTTACTAAATTAGTTTTGTATGAATGATTGATTTTAATATATATATATATATATATATATATATATATATATATATATATATATATATATTAAAATATATGTAAAAATTTTTCAAATTAAATAAAGAACAAAAATAATAAAATAATAAAACAAAACAAAACTTTCAAACTAAAATAAAACTAAGTTATTATGGACCCCCACTCTCCGCCAAAAAAAAAAAAAAAGAAGCCTGCCCGCTGTATTTGGCCAATGAAGTTAATGGCAGGAGAGGGGAGGAAATTAGTTTGGCAGTGGGTAAGTATAAGAGGTTGGACCAATCAAGATAAAAAGCAAGGATATAAAAACTAGAGATCGGTAATCTTGACAAGGACCATAGCAAAAGGGAAAAGTTGGGACGATGTTGACTTTAACTCGGAGAACAAAAAAACACTAAATCAATATTAGTCGGATTCATGACAACCAGACTCGCACCTTTCATCCACATTTCGCTGAAATCTGCCGAAACCAATCATTTACCAGATTGTTTCTAAAATCTCTCCATATGAAAAAAATCCTTCTAGAATTTTATATTTTTCTAAGGTTTTATATCAGGTTAGTCTAAGAAAAATTTGTCTGCATAAAAATTTTTTAGGCATTTTTAGAATCTTCTCGGGTTTTATATCAGGTTAGGCTACGAAAAATCTCTTTGTAAATTGTCCTTTTAGCAATTTTTTGAATCTTCTTAAGTTTTATGTCAGGTTAGTCTACGAGGGTTACTTGTACTATATAATTTATTACTATCTGTCGCATGGTCAGGTCATTGATGATTAAACGGGTTCTCCAACTAGTTTTTTTTTAGGGTGACAAGACACTAAGCCGGATTAAAAATAAAACCTGCCAAAGGTCGAATAATTCTTTTCGTAGGGTCAACGGCTAATCAGTAGTCTGGATTTTAATGCATTGCATAGTGCTAGTATCGTGAGGACGCAGAATACGGTCGTAACAAGGCATGTCGTGATGACACGGCAGAGACTTTCCTGGATTGAGGTCAGTGGTCAAGGTGGAGGGTTTCCTCAATGGTATCAACGTGTGATGGAATTAGTGATAAAGGTGAGCCTTCAAGTTGCAGGACACCAGCTTCTATTTGACATGGAGAGGGATAGGCTCCGCCAGGTCATCTTGCTATACACACAGTACGCATAAATTAATATATCTCTGGTTGTCACTGCAGGTATGTGAAGGGAACTGGTCAGTGTCTCAGCTGCGTAGTAACCCTAAGACTACAGCTAGTCATGAGACTAATGATTAATGAAAGGTATTAAGACATTCTTTATTTTGCTCATATGACGCGTGCCGAAGATATTTTGGTTCGTAATCCTCAGATTAGAGTTACTTTGATTTTGTAAGTCTGAACCTCAGTCAAACAGAAAGGATGACAGGTTAACTAAACAGTGATTTTGCCTTTGGTGAAAAAAATGTTTTGATCTAATTTAAAGTAAATATTGCGGAAACATTCAAAATAAGAAAGGACACAGGAGTTCTTGGCATAGTCTAGTGAATAAAGAACTGGATTAGTGGTCTGGTCATCGAGACTGTTGGGTGGCAGGGAAAAAGGAACGTTATTTTTATTTTTATAGCAGGAAAGGAAAAAGTTTCAAAACTGAACCAAAAACAGACTTTATAAATCACCATCGATCGCTTCTTCTTTATTAAAACTGTCTACATTGAAAGACAAAAATGTTAGGAGTTATACTCCTTGAATTTATTTCAGCTAGAAATAACTAGTGTTATCATATATTGATTATCAATCCCAGATGGAGGTCATCTACCACCTTGAACATCTAGACTCGTATCTTCACTGGGGAATTTTCATTTATCAAACATCTGGTCCTCGTAGGCGTTTTGACGCGAAACTCTTGAGCCACTCAACAAGATAAGTCACTTGAACTTTTCTTGATTCATTGAATATCGTTACTCTAGTTACAGATTGAGCCCTTTCTGGCAGAGGTTCTGATAGCATGAAAAAAATAACCCCATAAATTCCGGTAATCTGCAAGTATTTTTCTGTTCTATTATATTTATTATTATTAATATATATATATATATATATATATATATATATATATATATATATGAAATGGACAAAGTCTGAGAATTATTTTTTAAAGATATTTTTTATGTTTATACGTTCTTTTTATAGATACATATTTAAGTAAATGCTCTGTTTATAATAAACAGTATTAAAAACATTTTCACAGAAAATATGCGTCCTCCGACAGGAATCGAACCTGTATCCTATACAGAACCGTCATATAGCCTGACGTGCCTTAACCTATTGGGCCACAGAGGAGCGTTCGATTAGCAAGGTCGATATGAATGTATGAGAGAAAATCATAGAGAATTGTGTTTAAAAACAGTAAAATCAAATCACTTGTGTGGGTTTTCTGGCGGTTTACTTTATGGAGAAAAACGTGTTTTAGTGGACTCGGCTATTTTCAATCTGCTTGTCTGAATCATATTCAAGAAGCGAGAGCACGATGTAAAAGGTCAGCCAATCTAACAGTGATCTCCTTTCACAATCCTCACACATGTCGCCTCCTTTGTAAAGCACTAGCGGGTCTTAAATGCCGCTTAAGATTATCGCACAAACTTTCATTACTGAATAAGCTGTCAGATCCTCATACGTTGAAACCGACGGGAGAGTCCATTATATATATATATATATATATATATATATATAGATATATATATATATATATATATATGTTCCAATTGATGCTCAATAATTAGGAAGAAAGTAAGAGAAAATAAAACGAAATAAATAAAGTGAACGGAAAAGTTTAAATGATGAATCTAACGTCAAGACAACGAAGGCTTTTGTATGTCTTTTTATGACTGTAAACTTGAATTGCAAGAAAACCATAATAAAGATAATTTTCCTTAACAAAATGGACATTTTAGGCAGGAAGAGTCAAATAGAGTACAAAAATATAAATATATAAAATAATCAGTTGAAGGTGAGGCTTACAAACTGTAAATAGTCTTGACATCAAAAGCTTTCTTATGATTTCTTTTTCAGGAATTCAAACATAGAAGGAAAGAATTTTGACCGCTTAAATCATCAATCAATAATTTCTCTAAACAAATAAATAAAATAAACGAAAAACTTTAGTTATTCAGCTGTATATAAAATGAAGAAGAAAGACTTACGCATTATCTATATATTTATTTAATTTTTGTGAATTCAATCTTGTAGGAAAAGTAATTATAACTGCGCGAAATTTCCTCTCTGCATATGGCTAAGGATCGGTTCTTATTATCCGGGTAATTTTGTTCCAGATGTTTAATCCAAATGAGAGACTGGTTTTAATTGCCTTGCTTGGTGTGAATAATTAAAAAAAAATCGACCGACAGTAATGCCAATTGTTCAAACAATGAGTGCCACATGTTTCCTGCATGGAAACTGCGATTCTTAGCATTCTGCTATTTTCACTATTCTGCTATTCTGCAATTCTGCTATTCTTAGCATTCTGTTATTTTAATTATTCTGGTATCCTAACCATTCTGCTATTCACAGCATTATGCAGTCCTCACCATTCTGCTATTCTCAGCAATTGGCTATTCTAACCATTGTGCTACTTTCATCATCCTGCTATTCTCACCTAACTTCTATTCTCACCTATCTGCTGTTCTCAGCATTCTGCTATTCTCACTGTTCTGCTATTCTAACCATTCTACTATCCTCCTTATTCTGCTATTCACAGCATTCTGGTATTCTCAAGAAGTGACTGAAGACGAGTAGCCAGATCAGGACTAATAATATTGCTGATTCTTCTTTGGATCTTATCAAGGAGTCCAAGGTAAATAGCAGATGCTATATATGGCATCAATATTCTAAGCATGGATGAATGGTATAGACTTATTATTTGTATGATAGATTCTGGAGAGAATAATTGTTCCGCACGACGCAGTGAATCAACAGCAGACATAACAATGGATTCAATATATTTCTGCTTTAATTCGTCTACACCCAGTAACCTCTTGTGTCTTGGTGGCTTTATTACCTTGCAAAAATAAAAAAAAAATATTCTGAAACCAGCATAAAATTTCAATGCATAGAAATATCTGGGCCATGTGTCCTTGAATTAATCCACATGGCCGAGTGGATAAAGACGTTGGTTAGATCCAGTGGCTAGACCGGAAATGTTGTGAGTCCAATACCACGCCACAGCAGTGGTGAACCAAAAACTTAGAGAGTTGATTTAAAGGGAAGTAAGAAGAACTAAAACAATGTACCTCAGTAGACGAAATAAAGGGTTCGAGTAGAAATTCTAATCTCCTGAAGAAGGGCGGTTCGTACAACGGCCGAAACATTGTGAATATGGCAGTGTATATGAGGTTAACAGTCCGAATAATGTAAATAATGCAAGCAATGATTCCAGTTCTTAGGTTTATACTTCCGGTTTTATCACATCATACGGGGTCAGACAAAACGACCCCCCACCAGAGCTGCCTATCCTATGTTCATTTCCCTTCTTTCCTATACTAAATTTCTTTTAAGTGATCTATGCAAAGATGTATTTCAAGTGTTTATTTTTTTTTATTAATTCCATATCTTGAAATTTTATGCTGGATTCAGGATATTATTTCTTTTTTTTAAATCGGTATCAACCTATGCAAGGCAATAAAGCCACTAAGACATAAGGGGTTACTAGGCGTGGAAGAATTAGGAACAGAAGCATTAATAATGAGCGGGAAAAGAAAAGAGCAATCAGAAAGACAGTAGATAGCGAATACCATAGCATTTTTATTTTTATATATTTAAAGTTGGCTGGGAAGTATGGAGTCGGAAGGGAGTTCCACGAGCGAGAAATGCGAGAAAAGAAACTCTTAGCATAGAACTTACGGTTACATATCAACTGTAATTTGATGAGATCTCGACGCCGGTCTAGTATTGAACCTTAAATCTATGAAGACTAGGTGACCATAGCGAAGAGCTCATCCGAACAATTACCGTGAAAGTATTTACAGAAAAGACACAGGGAGGCAACGTTACGGCTGTGGGAAAGTGACTGAAGCCGAGTAGCCAGATCAGAACTAATAATATTGCTGATTCTTCTTTGGATTTTATCAAGGAGCTCATGGCAAATAGCAGCGGCACCGGGCCATCTGTGTCAGCAATGTTCTAAGCATAAACGTATAGTAGACTTATAGATATGTAAGATAGATTATGGAGAAAAAATTGTCTTGCACGGCACAGTGACCCGACTTTCTTAGCAGCTGACCTAGCGATGGATTTAATGTAGTATTTCCACTTCATGTCATGTGTGAACGTTTGCCCTAGAAGGGGCAACGAGTCACTTTCATGGAGATTAGCTATGTTGATGGAGGACGGAGAGGGGTCTCTCAGATATTTAATGGAGAGATGTTTAATTTTGGAGGCGTATGTTATTTTCATATACAATCTTACGCTATCCTTGAGGCATCTTCCTGATTCCATCCTCCCAGAATTTGGCATCTTTCTGCGAAACGATCTTGTCTAAGTGATTTTTAAAGTCTTCCAGAGAACTGGAATTCTTTCCGTTGACAGAATTTTGTCAGGATAAAAATATGGGCTAACCCAAAGAAGGTCAGATTGGTATTGTGGATGTAGTAGGCCATTTCAGACAATCTGTCAATTTCTGCAGGGCCTGAAAAAAAAAAACTGACGTTGTTCTAATGGAAGAAGAGATCCTTCGTTTGGTCAATTCCAACCGCTTTTCATTGGTTGCTATCTTTCTTCGAGGTTAGCAACATCCATGCAGATAGAGGGTTGTCACTTCTTTTCGTTTTAATTTCAGAAAGCAATATTTGAAGCAAAATAAGTCCCAATTCTTAATCAGGAAAAAAAAAAAATCTTAAATCGAGGAAAGATGCCAAAAAAATGAAGGTAACTAAGTGCGATGAAAATGAAGAACCTGAAAAAAAGAAAGAATAAAATGAGGAATAACAGAGAGAAGCAAAAATATAGAAAAAAAAAACTGGTTTAAGTTAAGAAAAACGATAGTAAGAAGCCAGGAGGGAGAAGCCCAAATGAACTCTAAAAGTTGAGCTGAAGTGTGTGAAAATAGAAAAGTAGAAGAAAGAAGACAGAGACTCAAGGATTTAGCAAAAACATAAAAGACAAGAGGCAAAAAGAAGGCTAAGGACGGGTAAAGAGATAAAAGGGTGGAGTGCGCAAGACCGGAAGGAAGCAGAGATGAATAGATTGAAAACTTTGCTTGGCAGTTGGCTCAGCTGTCAGTGCCAAGAAACAGATATAAGAGATGAAGCTTTGGGGGCTGATGAGATCTGATGGCCGATACTGTGCTTGGCATCGGGGTGTAGCCAACAGAAACGATTGGTGACTGACAAGAAGTGATAAAATGATTAGAAAAAGACGAAAAGTGATTTTACATCCAAATGAGAACTCTTTAAACGGCGAAAACATTAAAGGGATATAACAACAGACCAAAAGAATAGTGTAGTTTAATCGGAAGGAAATGCTTCACTATTATCTTTCGACGTCGTTTTCATCATTTTAAATTTGATATCTAGGTCCTCAACGCTCAATAACTGGAGATAATGTTCTCTTTATGAAACACCGGCGTCTGGTTTTTCACAACCAGTTTATTTACTATCTGTCTAAATTTCTGAGATGAGGTACACTATTTAAATTATTCGGACTATTGTCCTCATCTTTGTTGCCATATTTATAACAACGTTTCGGCCGTTGTACACTCCGGCTTTCTTCAGGTGTTTGGAATGTCGAACTGAACCCTTTATTTCGCTCGCTGGGGTAGACTGTTCTAGTTCCACGTGGATGTCAGTTATCATTTATCTCCTGTTATTTCCCCTCTCCAAGTTCTCCATCGCCTTAACCAAGTATTCAACTCACAACATTTTGGGACTTCTCACTGGATCTAACCAACGACTTTACCCACTCTGTCATGTGTCCTTAAGTCCGAATAATTTAAATAGTGGTATTCATCTTATCTATCCTCATAATGTACACTTTTAACTTTCTCTTTTTACATTCATACAATAACCTTATTCAGTAACTCTCTGTCTTGAGTGGCTCTAGGGCCTTGCTTTAGGTGAAAATTAATGAAAACATTTTAGAGAACTTGAACTGGAAAATGATTTTATTTTGCATATTATATTTTATTTTTATCATATTTATTAAAATCATTTTGATAACGACAAAGTGAAAATAGAAGTTTTACAAATTGTCTTCATCATAAAACCAATTTTACAATTGTCTTAATCATATAATCTAACCAAGGCGTTTATCGACTGTGCCATGTGTCCTTAAGTGTGGATAAAGTGGATAAAATGGATCAACCCAAAGAGTTGTGAGTTCAAAGGCAGTGGAGCAGTTGGAGAAGGAAATTAGCGGGATAAAAACTGATAACTGACATCCATTAGACATGGCACGTGGAACTAGAACAATCTACTCCAGCGAGCGAAATAAAGGGTCCAGTTCGACATTTCAACCACCTGAAGAAACGTTGAGATAAATATGACACAAAGATGAGGAGAATAGTCCGAATAATCCAAAAGGAAATGTGTATACAACAGAAATCAAAGGAAGTAATAATAATAATAATAATAACAATAATAATAATAATAATAACAATAATAATATGCCAATTCAAGCTAACAGGGAAATAAAAGACAACTGACTGGATAATCATAAAAGACAAGAAATTCAGGAAGTGTATGCTTATTGAGATGGCAGAATCATCTGAGAGAAACACCTCCATAAAAATTATCCTGAAATTGTCCAAATACATGACCTGGAGATCGAGATTAACAGGATGTGGGGAATGAAGACTGAGACTGTACCAATAGTAATCGGAGCTCTAGGCCTCGTGAGAAAAGGAATGGCCAATTTTACTAACAGACTCCCAGGTAACATCAACGTACAAGTTGCCCAGATAATCATCCTACTAGGAACATTACATAAACTAAGAAAAGTGCTATTAATTAAATGACAATTCTCTTATAGGGCCTAAGGACCATAGTTTGGAACCGGCTCTACAGGATACAGAACGCAGGAAACATAACACACAAACAACAACAACAACAATAATAATAATAATAATAATAATAATAATAATAATAATAAAATTAAGTACTGGCGAAAGTTACTTATATGAAAATTCTTGAATAAAATGGAGATCTAAACCCTTGTATGGAAAGTACCCAAAACATCTGGACGAACCAGACGTCGATGCTCGCCAAACCCATTAATGACTTAGAAACAATTGTTCTACGGGGGAGAGAGAAGGTTTTATTATGATAACCAAAGACCAATGTCTTCCAACTAATGACTTTTAGGCTAATCAACAAAGATGGCTCAGTTCTCAATTGTCACTTATGACATAATTTCGATGAAAGTTTTGACCACGTAGTATCAGATTGCTCAATTCGTGCGAAAAAAGAATACATAATTAGATATGACAGGTCTGGACAATATATCACTTGCCATGTCTGTACAAACTATAGTATTGAAGTGCCGGATACAGGGTACAAACGCCACCAGAATGATGCTACAAATCGTGATGACGTGGCTATACCGTGGAATTTCCAAAACATCACAGACAAAAAAAAAAAAAAAAAATGGTGTAAATTTACCAGATATAGTCATAAAGGATTTCGGAAAAGGAACCTACCACCTGGACACAGGATGTCAATGATTCTAATAAAAAAAAATCAATAACTGTCAAATTATATAGATCGGTAAATCGAAGTAGCCTTAATGTGGAAACTTAAAACTACGATTATACCTGTTGGACACTGGGTAAGAAAAAGAAGGGTACCGAAAATCATGTGAGTAAAATTTTTTTTTGAGCGACAAAAGATTATTTTAGCGGAACTGCATATATGAGCTGGAAAACAAACTCTCCATCTAAACCGGTCCTTCACAAAATTTTTAATTTCGGAACGCACTTGGAGAAAGACTGAAACTTCAGGGCACACTTTAAATTTTAATAAGGTTAAATTAGTGATGAAATTTGAAAATTGGGAAATAATAAATAAGGCTCTTGAAATAAGCATTTATTTTTAATATATTGCATTGTATGTGTATCTATGCTTGTGTGAAACCAGAGTTTTCGCAAAGAAAGTTGGTTGTCATTTTTGGTTTAGCATTCCCAAATGTGCTCAGGTGCAAAATATGTTTTGCTTCGGCAAAGACAATATCCCTTATAAGGTTTTTCATTTTTGGTTTAATATTACCAAAGGTGCTCGTGTGAAATCTGTGCTTTGCTTTGGCAAAGAAAAAAATACCTTTTAATGGTTGTCATTTTTGGTTTAGCATACCCAAACGTTAGCGGTACCTTTATCTTTCAACGCATACACCAACCCGCAACAATTGAAAGGGGAGCGTTCGTGCTAGTTTCAATTTGTAAAAACTTTCTCATATTCTTCAGGTAAATAGGATTCTCAAGTCCACTGACTGTTATCGCTCTTTCTAGTACTGATGCGAGTTTCCTTCCTAACCTTTTGTATAAGGTAATGTGGAAAGTCAACATTTTGATTATATCATTATTTCATTTTCTAGCTACATGGATATTTTCTAAGACTCTGAAGAGCTCATCTTTGCTCACATTCTAGGTCCATTATATCCTCAGCATCTTTCTGTAGAACCATATCCCAATTTAAAATATTCTCTCAGTATGAGGAAGAAATATTTAAATTGTTCGAACTGTTATCCTCATTTGACTGTCATATTTTCCTTCAGCTGATATATGTTGAAATTTTAAACTGAACACTTCATTTAGTCTGTAGTGTTAGATTGTTCTAATTCCACGTACCATGCCTTTGAATATCTTAGTTTTAATTAATTAGTCTTGTTAAATCTTGTTCTCTCAACTGAGACCAGAAATTGAACTCCCAACTCTTTGGGTTAAGTCACTTCTTGAATCAACCACCCATCGTTTTTATCCACTGGACCATGTGTCCTTGTCCGTGAAGGTCACGGTAAAGATGAAGATAACATCTCAAACGATGTAAATAGTGTAAAATAGTTCAAATACCTCAGCTCACAAATATAGACAGATACTGATGAAGGCCGGATCGTACAACTACTGAAACGTCATGAATGCGTCAATAAAAATGGGGGCAACAATCCGAACAATGTAAATAGTTACAATACCTTATGATAGAAATGTAGATATATCCTGAAGAAGCCATGGGTGTATAACTTCCGAAACGTCGTGAATGTAGCAATAAAGATGGGGGCAGCAATTCGAACAATGAAAATAATTACAATACCTCATCTCAGAAATAGAGACAGATGTTGAAGTTTAATATTGCAATAAAGATGAGGACAACATTCCGAACAAAGTAAATAGTTACAATATCTCATCTCAGAAATAGAGACAGATGTTGAAGGTGAATATGGCAATAAAGATGAGGACAACAGTCCAAACAATGTAAATAGTGTAAATAATTACAATACCTCATCTCAGAAATAGAGACAGATGTTGAAGGTGAATATGGCAATAAAGATGAGGACAACAGTCAAAACAATGTAAATAGTGTCAATAATTACAACACCTCATCTCAGAAATAGAGACAGATATTGAAGGTGAATATGGCAATAAAGATGAGGACAACAGTCCGAAAAAAGTAAATAGTGTAAATAAGTTACAATACCTCATCTCAGAAATATAGACAGATGTTGAAGGTGAATATGGCAATAAAGATGAGGACAACAGTCCGAACAATGTAAATAGTGTAAATAGTTACAATACCTTATCTCAGAAATAGAGACAGATATTGAAGGTGAATATGGCAATAAAGATGAGGACAACAGTCCGAACAATGTAAATTGTAATCAATAGTTACAATACCTTATCTCAGAAATAGAGACAGATATTGAAGGTGAATATGGCAATAAAGATGAGGACAACATTCCGAACAATGTAAATAGTGTCAATAGTTACAATACCTTATCTCAGAAATAGAGACAGATATTGAAGGTGAATATGGCAATAAAGATGAGGACAACATTCCGAACAATGTAAATAGTGTCAATAGTTACAATACCTTATCTCAGAAATAGAGACAGATGTTGAAGGTGAATATGGCAATAAAGATGAGGACAACAGTCCACACAATGTAAATAGTGTAAATAATTACAATACCTCATCTCAGAAATAGAGACAGATGTTGAAGGTGAATATGGCAATAAAGATGAGGACAACATTCCGAACAATGTAAATAGTGTCAATAGTTACAATACCTTATCTCAGAAATAGAGACAGATATTGAAGGTGAATATGGCAATAAAGATGAGGACAACAGTCCGAACAATGTAAATTGTGTCAATAGTTACAATACCTTATCTCAGAAATAGAGACAGATATTGAAGGTGAATATGGCAATAAAGATGAGGACAACAGTCAGAACAATGTAAATAGTGTAAATAGTTACAATACC